CTCTACCACTTGAGCCACAGCGCCACTTCCGGCTTTTTTCTTTTTGCTTATGTGGTGCTGAGGAATCAAACTCAGGGCCTCAGGCATGCAAGCAAGCGCTCTACCACTGAGCCAACTTCCCAGCCCATAACTCATTTTTTCTTAATATTTTACTTTTTGGTTTTGCATAACAGATCTTCATTTTAGTATGCATTATGGTATGTTGGCCAGGCATGGTGGTGCCCACCTGTAATCTTGATCTAGGAGGATCAAGGCTCAAAGCCTACCTGGCTTAAAGTAACAAGATTCAAAGGACTGGAGATGTAGCTCACTGGTACGGTGTTTTCCTAACATGTGCAAAGCCCTGAATTCGGTCCCTTGCACAGCAAGAATTTTTTAAAATTATTATTGTATTTACCTAGGTCAGTGTTTGTTAATTCAGGCATTACTAATATTTTGAGCCAGGTAATTCTTTGTTATGGGGCTGTTCTTGGCACTAATGTATTTCTCCCATCCCTGTTCCTGCCCACTAGATGTCAGTACCTCTTCCCTAGTTATGACAACCAAAAATGTCTCCAGATATTGCCAAATGACTCCATGGGGCAAAATTACCCTTGGCTGAAAGCCATGTTGGTTATGGCCATCATTCCAGAGAATGAAATCCCTGCCCCTAGGGCAGCTCCATAGAGGAAGCTTTACTGTTTGGGCATCCCAAATACAACCCATTTATCACTTTAGACTGGGGATGGGGATTTTGCTCAGTAGAAGAGCACCTTTGTGGCAGCTGCAAGGCCCTGAGTTAAGTCCCCAGCTCTGCAAAAGATAAAAAGCCAAAAACAAAAAAACAAAGCAACTATTACTTGGGAGTGTCCAAAAGAGAATCACCATGGTCTGGGAAGGTGGCTCAGTGGTAGAGTGCTTGCCTTGCATGCATGAGACCCTGGGTTTGATTCCTCAGCACCACATAAGCAGAAAAAAAAAAGCTGGAAGTGGCACTGTGGTTCAAGTGGTAGAGTGCTAGCCTTGAGCTGAAGAGCTGAGGGACAGCACTCAGGCCCAGAGTCCAGGCCCACGACTGGACCCAAAAAAAAAAAAAAACAAAAGAGAAACACCACTTCTGATTTATCTGTACTCTGTAAACAGGCATGCTGGATTAATTTATCTCCTTAATAATACAGATACCAGTCAGGTATTGATAGCTCCTGTCTGTAATCCTTGCTACTCAGGAAATTGAGATCTAAGGATAAGGGTTCTGAAGCCAGCCCTGGCAGAAAAGTCCCAGTGAGACTCTTATCTGTGATTAACACTCAAAAAGCTGGAAGTAGAGCTGTGGCTCAATTGGTAGCATATTAGCATTGGACACAGAGAGGCTCAGAGACAGCACCCAAGCCTTGAGTTCAAGCCCCTCAACTGACAATAATAGTAATAAAAATACAGATATCTGCCAGGCACTGGTGGCTCACACCTATTAATCCTTGCTACTCAGGAGATCTAAGGATCATGTTCAGAGCCAACCAAGGCAGAAAAGTCTGTGAGACTCTGTTAAACTCAGAAGTAAGCCAGGCGCCGGTGGCTCATGCCTGTAATCCTAGCTACTCAGGAGGCTGAGATCTGAGGATCGAAGTTCAAAGCCAGCCCTGGCAGGAAAGTCTGTGAGACTCTTATCTCCAATAAACCACTAGAAAATCGGAAGTGGTGCTGTGGCTCAAGCGGTAGAGGGCCAGCCTTGAGCTGAAGAGTGCAGGGACAACGCCCAGCGCCCAAACCCAGAGTTTAAACCCCACCACTGACCAAAAAAAAAAAAAAGCCAGAAGCGGTACTGTGGCTAAAGTGGTAGAGTACTAGTCGGGTTTCTTTTGTTTTTGTCATGGGGCTTGCACTCTGGGCCTGGGCACTGTCCCTCAGCTCTTCAGCTCAAGGCTAACGTTCTACCTCTTGAGCCACAGCGCCACTTCTGGCTTTTTCTGTTTATGTGGTGCTGAGGAATCGAACCCAGGGCCTCATGCATGCAGAGCAAGCCCTCTACCACTGAGCCACCTTCCCAGCCCCTAGAGTACTATTCTTAAACAGAAGAAGCTCTGGGACTTGCCCAGGCCCAGAGTTCAAGCCCTAGGACCAGCACAAAAGAAAACTAATAAAATAGGTATCCCTCTTAGGGAACCCAAAGTTACATTGCCTCTGTGCCTCTGATCGTGCAAAATAATGTTTATCAAAATGAATTCTAAGAGCCAGGTGCTGGTGGCTCAAGCCTCTGAGGATCACTGTTCAAAGCCAGCCCAGACAAGAAAGTCTCTGAAACTCTTATCTCCAATAAACCACCAGAAAAACTGGAAGTGATGCTGTGGCTTAAGTGGCTCAAGTGGTAGAGCGCTAGTCTTGAGCTAAAGAGCTGAGGGACAGCACCCAGGCCCAGAGTTCAAGCCCCATGACTGACCAAAAACAAAAAAGAATTCTAAGGAATGGAAACAAGAGTTTTGTTTTGTCTTGTTTGTTCATTTATATGTCTGAGAGGGTAAAAGAAGCACAGAAATGGGGAATAAAGGGTGAACAAATGCAGCAATGGTACTTGAAAGGTTCTGTCACATCCATCTCAGGGGACCACACAGAGGCAGGCAGGCAGGCACTCGAGAAAGATTATTACAAGGTTTATTAGAGGAGCCCTATTTCTCCCCGAGAGAGAGCACATGAGGACCTCCACTATCTAGGTAGCAGCAGCATCTGGGGGTAGGAAGTGAAGTTGATGGGAGTTCAGGTGGATGTAGGCGGAGAGAAGGAGGGGCCAGCTGTATGGTGGGAACTCCAGGGCAGAGGAGCTAAGGTCTGGGTGGAGCTGAGGACTAAAGGTGGGCTTAATGCTGACAGTACTCACTAGGCAGTATGTGGGTGGGGATGGGAGGGAAAAACTGGGAGAGAGCAAGGGAAGGGGTGGCATGGTCCTAAAATAAAAATACTCATGCCAGGTACCTGGGACTCAAGCCTGTAATCCTAGCTACTCAGGAGGCTGAAATCTGAGGATTGCAGCTCAAAGCCAGCCAAGATAGGAAAAGCTAACTCTCATCTCCAGTAAACCACTCAGAAAACCGGAAGTGGTGCTGTGGCTCAAGTGGTAGAGTGCTAGCCTTGAGCTGAACAGCTGAGGGACAGCGCTCATGTCCAGAGTTCAAGACCCCTGAGTGACAAAAAAGAAAAGAAATGTAGTCATTTCCTGACTTGGGTAACAGTAACCCCTTTGTCCATCACCTTAATAACAATTTTTTAAAGTAAAATTTAAAATTTTACTACCGAAAAATCATGCAGGTATCCTTCCTCTGCATTACTGATTTACTGAGTAACTGACAGGCCTCCAGAATCTGAGATCAGCTTTGAGCCAGTTGTTTTGGTTGTCAGGGTTGGCTTTATTCCTTCTAGAAACAAAGTTTGACATCAGTGTCTCTTATTTATTTCAGATGACTTTGAAAAAGCCAAGGAAATCTTAACAAAGATGAAATACTTTTCTAATGTAGAAGAAAAGGTCAAGTTAAAGAAGATTCCCCTCTAGTTGCCGGTGTAATTGTTAAAAAATAAACGTGTATTTCTTTTTGACTTCTGCTAATTGGGAATTTGCTTTAATCATAGTTATAACTTCAGTTCAGTCGGTGACTCCAGTGTAAATGGATATCAGGCTGTCAGCCCAATGCCTGAGGGTTTTCTCCATTCAGGCCAGTGGATTGGAAGGTAGAGGTTGAGTCAGTTTGAGGCCAGTGGATGGGGAGGTGGAGGCAAGGCCAACTTGAGGCCAGCAGAACAAGAAAGAGTCTGAAACTGGGGCAAAGGGCCCCACAGTGGGCTTAAATGGCTTCCACTTCTCTGCTCTGCCAGCAGAGCACAAAGCAGCTATAGACAAAATGTAAACTGGTGAACTACCAACTCTCATTTCCAAAAAGACTGGAAATGTGGCTCTGTGGTAGAACACTTAACAGACTAAAGTATAAAGCCCAGAACTCAATTTCTGGTAGTATTTTATTTTTATCTGCCCAGACTAGCTTTGAACCAGGATCCTCAGATCTCAGCATGCTTGATTACTGTCGTGAGCTACCAGTAACCAACCTCCAGTACTCTGTGAGACTGTGAGACCCCAGTTTTGAGGACTGAACTCTGGGCTGGGTACTGTCCCTCAGCTCTTCAGCTCAAGGCTAGTTAGTGCTCTACTACTTGAGCCATAGCACCACTTCCAGCTTTTTCTGCTTAGGTGGTGCTAAGGAATCGAATCCAGGGCCTCATGCATGCAAGGCAAGCACTCTACCACTGAGCCACCTTCCCAGCCCCCTCCAGCACTCTTAAAACCACCAAAAAAAAAAAACTTAAAAAAGAGGAAGGAAACTATTTACAAAACAGTACCAGATTTATCTAAAGTGCTAGCTTCCAGTTTTGGAGTGGTTAATTGGAGATTGGCTTTTGAACCTTGATTCTAAGATCTCAGCCTCTTGAGTAGCTGAGATTAAAGGCCTGAGCCACTGGTGCCTAGGATGTGTCAGCTTCGTTGTCTGTTGAGTATTTTTTGTTTTGTCAGTCGTGGGGCTTGAACTCTGCACCTGGGTGCCATCCCTCTGCTCTTCAGCTCAAGTGTTAGGCTCTACCACTTGAGCCTCAGTGCCACTTCCCATTTTCTGAATGGTTTATTGGAGATAAGAGTCTGGATGAGGACTTTCCTGCTTGGGCTGGCTTTGAACTGTGATTCTCAGATCTCAGCCTCTAGAGTAGCTGGGATTACAGACCTGAGCCGCCAATACCCAGCAGTGTGCCAGCTTCTTAAAGCCAGGACCTTCACTAGAGTTATTCTTTTTTTTCTGTGCCCTTTGGTCATTCCACTTGGTAGCAAGCCACTTAAGGTGTTTCCTCCTTCAGTAGATAATGTTAACTAGAATCAGCCACGCAAGGAAAGTAAACCACATTCTCCTCCTCCCTCATAGGATGGGACAGCTTAAATTAGTCCCGAGACTATTGATATTTTCTTACTTCCAGGTTCTTCTGATTCATCTCCTCCATCACTCAGAGCTTTGAAAATTCAGTTTAGTTCTTGATCCAGTTCCAGAAAAAGAAAAGTTACACAGCCTCCCCCAATCTCTGGATCAAGAAAGATTAAAATATTAAAACAAAATCCTGATTAAACAATTCCAAGGAAAAGCATTCAGGCTCTACTGGAAAGAATCACTTGTTAATTGAAAAAGTAAGCTGGGTGTGGTGCAGAATTCCTGTAACCCCTACAACTTGAGAGGCTAAGGCAAGAGGATCTCAAGTTTAAGAACTGATGGCAATTTATTGAGACTTTTTTTGGGGGGAAGGAGTGGTCCAGTCGTGGAGCCTGAACTCTGGGCCTGGACGCTGTCCCTCAGCTCTTCAGCTCAAGGCTAGCGCTCTACCACTTGAGCCACAGTGCCACTTCTGGCTTTTTTTTTTTCTGCTTATGTGGTGCTGAGGAATCAAACCCAGGGCCTCAGCATGCAAGGCAAGTGCTCGACCACTGAGCCACCTTCCCAGCCCAATTTATTGAGACTGTCTGAAAATAAAATTTTTAAATAACTAGGAAGGGGGGCAGGGAAAGTGGCTCAATGGTAGAGTGCTTGCCTGGCATGCATGAGGCCCTAGGTTCAATTCCTTAGTACAACATAAATAGAAAAGGCTGGAAGTGGTTCTGTGGCTCAAATGGTAGAGTACTAGCCTTGAACAAAAAAAGGTCATGGACAGTGCCCAGACCTTTAGTTCAAGCCCCATGACTGGCAAAAAATAAATAACTAGGAATAGAGATCAAGTTGCACAAAACCCAAAAGTTCAATCTCCAGTACTCCAATAAAATAGAAGAAAAAGTCAGGGGTTTGAACCAAATGCTCTAAAATCTTAAAACTATTTCTTTTGCAGCTCTTTACCCTTGTCCAAAAACATGTGTAGTTTGCCTATCCTTATTCAGTTTTTCTTGGTTAACATCTTAGGATTTACTCATTTTCAGAAGAGAAATTAATCACAGCTGACCTACAAATATTGGGAATATCAGTGCAATCTCTACCCCCTAGAAATTTACTTAGTTAAAGCCCTGAAGGAGTCTTTTAAGTAAATAATTTGTGTTAGCAAATGTGCTGATTAAGTGAAGATCTGCTTCTTCTAAGCAGATGAAAGGAAGGTTAGAAATCCTCTAAAAACAATTTTCATTCCTTCTTCATAACAATGAGGAATGAAAACAATAGACCACAAAAAGAAATCAGGTCTGCAGTTATGTCAAACATATCATTGGAGGAACCTGAAAGAAAACTTTCCCCTTACCAGACAGTTGTGGGGCCTCTCAGCAAACCATTTCTGACATGGGGGATAAATTAAAAAGACATTGTTTCTGAATCATGGCTTCTGAGGTCAGAGAGATTACCTTTTTCTTTTTCCCTCTTCCAAACTTTCCCTTTTTGTCTAAAATCCAAGTTGAGCTTCACTTCAAAATCCAGGAACCCTTTCAAGTGTTGCCTAACAAAGCCCTGTGGGAGGTATGTTTCTAGTCTGAAACCTTGGCAGTCCATTTGGATTACAGTTTTGATCAGTGATACAAACTGAGCATGCTCCCTCACCTTCTCCTGCTGGCTCCCCTCTAATAAACCCTCTTTCCTGCATAGGACCTAATACAGTATTAAAAAAAATCAGAAGTTTCCACCTGTTTCTGTCTTCCTACTCTAATGTCAGACAGTCTGGTGTCATGGACTGAAAGTTTGTGTCCTCAAAAAAAAAAAAAAAGATTCAACAAACTAGAAAGGACTTAAAAAAAATAAAGTTTGGAGGGGGTGTGGAGGGGGGGAGATGGGAAGGGATGGGAAGGGGAAACAAAGGAGGAGGCATCAATGCTTGATAAGAAATGCACTCATTACCTTGCCCATGTAATTATAACTCCTCTGTAGGATATTTTCACAATAAAAAAGTTTAGCTGGGCACTGGTGGCTCATGCTTTTAATCCTAGCTACTCAGAAGGCTGAGGTCTGAGGCTCACAGTTCCAAGCCAACCTGGGCAGGAAAGTCCGTGAGACTCTTATCTCCAATAAACCACTCAGAAAACCGGAAGTGGTGCTGTGGTTCAAGTGGTAGAGCACTCGCTTTGAGCTAAAGAGCTGAGAGACAGCACCCAGGGCCACAGTTCAAACCCCACAACCACCAAAATAATACTTATGGAATTGAAACCCCTTTAATACAACTATTTTAATAAATGAGGGAAAATTTTTGTTAAGCATTTCAGTCTATTCTTTTGGTTTGTTATGCTTTCGCAGTGTAGACACCAAAACCCAGGGCTTTACATAAGCTGGAAAAGCATTCTACTATTTTTTTTTTGGTCAGTAATGGGCCTGTACTCTGGGCCTGGGCACTGCCCCTCAGCTCTTTAGCTTAAGGCTAGCGCTCTACCACTTGAGCCACAGAGCCACTTCTGGCTTTTTCTGCTTATGTGGTGCTGAGGAATCGAACCCAGGGCCTCATGCATTCAAGGCAAGCATTCTACCACTGAGCCACCTTCCCACATTCTACTATTCTAAGCCACATTACATTCTCAGTTCTATGTTTTGTTTTTTTGTTTTGTTTCTGTTTTTTTGGTACACATGGGGCTTCACATGGGGCCTGAGTGCTGTCCCTATGCTTTTTTGCTTAAAGAAGCTAGCATTCTACCACTTTGAGCCATAGCACCATTTCTTGTTTTCAGGTGGTTAATTGGAGATAAGAGTCTCATGGAATTTCCTCCTGGGCTGGTTTTGAACCATGATTTTTAGATCTCATCCTCCTGAGTACCAAGGATTATAGGAGTGAATCATTGACGCCCAGTTTCTATGTTTTTTGTTGTTTTGTTTTTCAGTCCTGGGGCTTGAACAGAGGGCCTGGGCACTGCTCCTGAGCTTCTTTTGCTCGAGGGTAGCACTTTACCACCTGGTCCACAGCACCACTTCCAGCTTTTTCTGTTTATGTGATGCTGAGGAATCAAACCTAGAGCTTCATGCATACTAGGCAAGCACTTTACCCCTGAGCCACATTACCAGCCCCTCTATAGTATTTTTTATGGCAGCTGAGATAAACTAATAGATTTGGGTTTAAATCTTTTTCTTTTCTTTTCTTTTTTTTTTGTCAGTCATGGGGCTTGAACTCTGGACCTGGGCACTGTCCATGTACTCTTCAGCTCAAGACAAGTGCTCTACCACTCGAGCCACAGAGCTACTTCCTTGGGTTTAAATCTTGAAAGGTCAATAGAACTAAGCATCGGTGTTTGTGCCTGTAATCCTAATCATACTCAAGAAGATCAAAGACCTAGAGGACCATTTCTGAAGCCAGGCTGGAAGAGAATTCAAAAAGCAGATGTCACTCAGAATTCTGCTTCATGTAAGGACAGTTAGCCAGGAAGTACAAAATAGCCTTGCAACTTAACTCCAGCATCTCTGGTCCTAGGTCTCTTTCCATTTCATTAAAAGCTAGGCCACACTAGAGAACCACCAAGGGGGGAAAATGTCTGGGTAAAACTTCATAAATTATCCATTTTGTCTCTTGTTATTGTTTTAAATTTTGCTAGTCCTGGGTCTTGAACTCAATGCCCAGGCACTGTCCCTCAGCATTTTTGTTCAATGCTACTGCTCTACCACTTAAGCCACAGCTCCACTTCAGACTTTTTGGTAGTTAACTGGAGATAAAAGGTTCATGAAGGGCTAGACAGGTGGCTCAGTGGTAGAGCACTTGCCTTGCATGCATGAGGCCCTGGGTTTGATTTCTCAGCACCACATAAACAGAAGGGAAAAAAAAGCCGAAGTGGCGCTGTGGCTCAAGTGGTAGAGTGCTAGCCTTGAGCTGAAGAGCTGAGGGACAGCACCCAGGCCCAAAGTTCAGGCCCACCACTGGACGACCCCCCCCCCAAAAAAAAAGATTCATGGACTTTTCCTGCCCAGGCTGGTTTTGTACCACAATCCTCAGACCCCAGCCTCCTGAGTAGCTAGAATTACAGGCATGTGCCACCACCACCCAGCTTTTTCAGTTTTCTTGTTTAAAGCTGGCACTCTAGCATTTCAATGGTTAATTGGAGATGGAGTTATAGACTTGTCTGCTCAGGTTGGTTTCAAACCTTGATCCTCTAGGTCTCAGCCTCCTAAGTAGCTAGGATTACGTGGGCGAACCATCTGTGCCTGGCAAACATTTATTTATTTTGGTGTTCCTGGAGTTTGAACTCAGAACCTCACACTTGCTAGGTAAGTAGGTAGGTGCTATACTGTCTCAGCCATGCCTCCCACCCTTTTTGCTTTGTTTTTCAGATAGGAGCTCTTGCTTTTGCCTAGTGTCTGCTTTCAACAGTTTTCTTCCTACCTCTGTCTCCTGAGTACCTGGATTTCAGGTTTGCACCATGCATGGCCTTTTTGTGTGTGTGTGTGCCAGGTGTTGAAACTAAGGCCTTACACATGCTAAGCACCTACTTCTATCACTGAGCTTCACCTCCAGCCCTGCAAACGCATGCTTAAGAGAATAAAGTTCATAAAGTAGTCCAAGAGTATAAAGTTGACCTATCTCTGAACTTTGCTTTGAAGATGACAAAGGAAATGAGGAGAACAAGTGTCCATGAGCATGTGACCACTTGAGGACTATTGTTTGTACCCCACACATGTATCTCTGTACCCGCATACACCTTACATCCCCAAGGACAATGCCTTAAGAAGTTTGTTACAGGGAACCGGGTGGAGGCTGTAGATTTCAGCGATTAGGGACGTGTCCAAAACTGAAAGGAGTGGCTTTAATACTTATCTGCTTTCCAAGTTCTATGTGAGGCTGTATTACATAGAGGGGTTGTGTCTTTCAGAGCAAGGAAGCAGCATCTCCTGAGGCCAGGAAGGATCAGATACTCCCTATCCCACCCACACAGAATTTAGATAACTTTCAGGAATTATAATTAAAGTGGCAGGGTTGAAGCTCAGTCCTCAGTAACTGCTTGCAAAGCATGCACAAGGGCCTACGTTCCATTCTCAGTTTAAATGCACATTACAGAACTTGAGGAATGAGGATTCAAAGCCAAGTCACAGAGGAAGCCGGAGGGGAAATGCCTAGGCTTAAGTGAGTAGAGGAGCAGCCATCTTGGTTTGTTTTATTATTATTTTTGCTGGGGGTGGGGGCAGAACTGTGGCTTGAACTCAGGGCATGAGCGCTGTCCCTGGGCTTTTCCACTCAAAGCTGGCACCCTACCACCTGAGCCACAGCTCCACTCCGTTTTGGGTTTTGTTTTTGTTTTTGCTGGCTAGTCGTAGATAAGAGTCTCATGGACTTCCCTGCGCGGGTTAATTTCGAACCGCAATCCCCACATCTCACCCTCCGCAGTGGCTAGGATTACAAGACAGAGCCCAGGGCGCCCAGCCCGGCCATCTTGTTTGCAGTCCGCGGGGACTACAACTCCCAGTATCCCTCGCGGCCGCTCAGCACAACAAATCCCGGCGTGCCCCTGGGCGGCCTTGGGTGGAGAGTTCTAGAAGGCGTGACGTGGGGTCGAAGCGGGCTTGGAGGCGGGCGCTCGTCGGCAGTGGCCGTGGCTGCTACTGTGCGGCCTGCGGACGGAGGCGGCCGGGGTCGCGGTCACAGCTCCCTCGTCTCGCCAGCCATGGCGGCGCTGGGCCGGCCCTTCAGCGGACTCCCCCTGAGCGGCAGCTCGGAGTTCCTGCAGCCGACGCCGGCCTTCCCGGGCCGGGCCTTCCCACCGGGAGCCGACGGCTCGGAGCGGACCCCGCGGCCGGGACCCCGCGCTGTCCCCAGCAACCCGGGCGGGAGCGCCGCGCGCGGACGGTGAGGACCGCGCGGGCACGCGAGGCGGGCGGGCTCGTTAACTCCACCCGCGGCGGGGGGCGTCCCGGCCCCGCGTACAAACCGGGAAACTGATCCCCGGAGACGTTAACTGTAGATGGCGCAGCCCGGGAGTCCCGTTCGAACTTCCTCCGCGCCGGGCTGCGCGCCGCAGCGGGGAGACGCTTCCCCTCGGAATCCGGAGCCCGAGCATCCCCGCCGCGCGACGCGCGGTGCCACCCGGACGTCCGGGATCCCCTTCGGCCGTGGCCCTCGCGGCGCGATCGGAGCTCAGTGCGGGCGACCGAGACGCGCGTAGCTCCTTTCCCTCTTCCTGCGACCAGGTGACAAGTGGACGCGTAGGTTTGGGGCTGTGGGTGTCACGTCTTCACCCAGCTTCCCATGACTAAGTTTGGGACCCGAATCCGCCCCGCGCGCGGGAAACCGGCGACAGAACCCGGGTGATTGCAGCTAGAAAGACGGCGCTGAAAGCTAAAGCCCAAGTGCCTTGCTCCATCCACTGATACTTGTTTGTTTGTTTTAACAGTGTTTCCGTTCACTGTAAAAAGAAACACAAGCGAGAGGCTGAAGACGACGAGTAAGTGTTAGGCCGTTCACACAACTTAGGCCATTGTTAATTTAACATGTATTATATCGTTAAGTTTAAGTGAAAAGGTAAAACGAGTTTGTGTCCGGAAGAAGGCATTAGAAACCAGGAATGTTCATTGCCATTACTTAGGAAAAGGCTGGCAGGTAAAAGGAGACTTTTCACTGACTGGTTAAATTTTTTCTTTTATTTCCTGTGCTTGTACTGGGGCTTGAACTCGAACTCAGGGCCTGGCGCTCTCACTTGGCTTTTTCCACTCAGTGCTGACATTCTACCATTTTAGCCACACCCCCACTTAGACTTTTTTGTCGGTTAATTGGAGATAGTCCAGAGCTGCCCCAGGGCTGGCTTTGAACGGTAATTATACTTTTTTTTTTTTTCAGTCGTGGGGCTTGAACTCTGGGCCTGAGCGCTGTCCCTGAGCTCTTCAGCTCAAGACTAGCTGTCTACCACTTTTGCCACAGTGCCACTTCCGGCTTTCTGGTGGTTTATTGGACATAAGAGCGTGAAGACTTTCCTTCCCCCCCCACCCCCCCCTCCTACTCTTTGAACCATGATCCAAGTAGTTATCATTACAGGTGTGAGCCACCAGTGGCTGGCTGAACAGTTTCTTAAATCCTAGCCTCTTGAATAGGTAGGATTACAGCATTAAAAACATTCTACCCCCTAGTCTTTCTTTCCAGAGACAATCCTGTTAGCTGTTCCTTATTTCTCCTTCAGAATGGAATTTAAAACTATTTTATGATTGTGTATGCTTGTGGTTTTTTACATTTGTTGAAACATTCACACTGCAACACATTTTTTTTTTCCATTTTACCCTCCTATAGCCAGTCACCTGTTTTAATGGATTTAATGGATTTTTGTTTCCAGTCCTTTTTTTCTTTCTCTCGTGCCATTCTTGGGTCTTGAACTCAAGGCCTGGGCACTGTCTCTGAGCTTTTCTTGCTTACCTTTTTTTTAAATTTATTTTTGTTGGTCGTGGGGCTTGAACTCTGGGCCTTGAACTCTGGGCCTGGGCGCTGTCCCTCAGCTCTTCAGCTCAAGGCAAGCGCTCTACCACTTGAGCTACAGCGCCACTTCCAGTTTTCTGAGTGCTTATTAGAGAAAAGAGTCTCATGGAGTTTCCTGCCCTGGTGGCTTTGAACCGAGATCCTCAGATCTCAGCCTCCTGAGTAGCTAGGATTACAGGTGTGAACCACCAGCACCCAGCTTTGCTTACCTTTTTGTAAGCACTCTACCAGTTGAGCCAAAGCTACACTTCCTTTTTGGTGCTTAATTGGAGGTAAGAGTTTAGGGACTTTCCTGCCTGGCCTAACTTCGAGCTGCCATCCTCAGTTCTCCACTTCCTGGGTAACTAGACTTACAGGTGTGAGCCACAGACACCTGGCTCTATTAAGTTATTCCTAATCTTGCAGAGTTCTGAACAGTTCTATCAAGATCATTCTTTTGAAGTTCTTTGAGTATTTTCAGGTTAATAGATTGCCTAGTGTGGAATTACTGAATCTTTCCTTTTTTTACTTTTTTTTTTTGGCTGGTCCTGGAGCTAGCACTTGGCCTGGATGTTGTCCCAAGCCTCTTTGTGCTCAAGGCCACAGCAGGACTTCCAGCTTTTTCTGAGTAGTTTATTGGAGATAAGAGTATCATGGACTTCCTGCTAAAGTTGATTTGAACCATGATTTTCAGATCTCAACCTTCTGGGTAGCTAGGATTACAGGCATGAGTCACCATTGGCCAGCAGGTCTTCACATTTTGAACAAGAGTTGTTGCCAGCTTATATTCCTATTAGCAGTATAAATGTGTTAGCAGGCATTGTGTGCATCCTAGTAGATGTACACTAGGAGATCATGGCTTCTTGCACAGGCTGAGCAACAGTACAAGACTCAGAAAGGCGTACACAAAGATGTAGCACAGTGGCAATACCAGTATCTCTTATCTTGTTCTTGAACTGGTTTTTGTGATGTTGTTGTTCATTTGTTTTTGTCTACTGGTGGTGGAGGTTAAAATCAGCCTCATAGTCTTTTTCAGTACTAGGCTATTTGCTCAAGGCTGTCACTTTTACCGTTTGAGCTAAATGCTCTTTTCTACCTTTACTTCCAACTTCCTGCTGTTTAATTGGAGATAAGAGCCAAGAACTTTGCTTCCTGGCTAACTTCAAACCATGACCCTCAGATTTCAGCCTTCTGAGTTTCTAAGCTCATACACATGACCCCACAGTACCCAGCTTTGAATTGTGTTTTAAGACTTTTTTTTTGGTTGGTCGTGGGGCTTGAACTCTGGGCCTGGGCACTGTCCCTCAGCTCAAGGTGAGCGCTCTACCACTTAAGCTATAGCGCCACTTCCAGTTTTCTGGTGGTTTATTGGAGATAGGAGTCTCACGGGGTCTCCTGTCCGGGCTGGCTTTGAACCGCGATCCTCAGATCTCAGCCTCCTGAGTAGCTAGGACTACAGGCGTGAGCCACCAGCGCCCAGCTTTTTTTTAAGACTTTTTAATGTCAGGGCCGAGGGTTAAACTTAGGGCCTGGGTGCTGCCCTTTGGCTTTTTGGTGGTTAATTAGACATGACTCTAAAGTCAGGTGTTGGTGGCTCAAGTCTATAATCTTAGCTACTCAGGAGGCTGAGATCTGAGGATGACGGTTCCAAGTTAACCAGTGCAGGAAAGTCCATGAGCCTCATCTCCAGTTAACTAACCACCAGAAAAAAATTGAGGTGGCACATTGGCTCAAAGTTCTAGAGCACTAGCCTTGAGCAAAAAAGCTTAGGGACAGTGCCTACGCCCTGAGTTCAAAACCCTAGACCAACAACAACAACAAGTTTAATAGGAACTAGCTAAGATTATAGGTGTAAGCCACTCATACCCTGCTTATCTCCTCCTCTCTCTTCCCACTCCTCCCCACCCCCCTCCATTTATTCTATTCATAAAATTGTAGTTCTGTGGATTTTTTTTTTCAAGTCCTGAGGCTTGAACTCAGGGCCCCCACACTGTCCCTAAGCTTTTTTTGTTTGAGATTACTGCTGTACCACTTGAGCCTCAGCTATGATTTCGCTTTTGTACTAGTTAATTGCAGAGAAGTTTCAGCGACTTTCCTGCCCAGGCTGGCTTTGAACACTGATTCTCATACCTCAGCCTCTTGACTAGCTAAGATTACAGGTATAAGCCACCAGCACCCACCCAAAATTGATGTTTTATAGAAATTAAAAAGAAATTACTTACTTTTATTTTTTTCTGCTTTCCAAATACTGCTTTTTTTTTTTTTTTTTTTTGTCCTTTGTGGGGCCTGCATTCTGGGCCTGGGCGCTGTCCCTCAGCTCTTCAGCTCAAGGCTAGCTCTCCACCACTTGAGCCATAGCGCCACTTCTGGCTTTTTCTGCTTATGTGGTGCTGAGGAATTGAACCCAGGGCCTCATGCATGTGAGGTAACCACTCTACCACTGAGCCGCCTTACCAGCCTCTACTTTTTTTTTTTAATCAAGACTGAACCCAAGGCTTTGTGCACGTCAAACAAGTGATAAATCATCAAAACATTATATCCTTGGGGATGTGGCTTAGTTGTAAAGTGCTTGCCTAGCATGCATGAAGCCCTGGGTTCGATTCCTCAGAACCACATAAACAGCAAATGCCAGAAATGGTGCTGTGGCTCAAGTGGTAGAAGGCTAGCCTTGAGCAAAAGAAGCCCAAGGACAGTGCTCTGGTTAGGCCTTGAATTCAAGCCCCAGGACTGGCCAAAAACAAACCAGAAAACATTATATCCTTAAAACTGTTAAAACATGCTTATAAGCCTAGTTACTCAGGAGGCTAAATCCTCAGAGGTCCACTTCAAAGCAAAACCATCTGTGGTAGACAGAATGGGGAGACACTTGTCTCTAATTACCAGCATAAAGCTAGATGTAAAAGTATGATTCCAGTGGTGGAGCTCCGGCTGTGGGGGAGAGGGGTGGGGAGACTTGATGGGCAAAGAAGAGCAAGACACAGAGTTCAAGCCTACACACACAAAGCATACAAAGTATTCAAATGTTACATAAATATTGATAGCTAGACTTTTTTAGAGCCTGGATCTCCATGAGTAGTCTTCAGAATACTAAGATTACCAAGGTTTTTGTTGTTCTTGTTTTGGGGTTTTTTGTTATTTTGTTTTTTGTTTTACTGACTCAGTTGTTAAGTTTTGAACTTCAGTCCTGTGTAGTCCCTGGGCTCTTTTGCTCAAGGCTAGTACTCTTCCACTTTGAGCCACAGTTCCATTTCCAGTGTTTTGGTTGTTAATTGGAGATAAAAGTCTCACAGACTTTCCTGCCAGGGCTGGCTTTTTTTTTTTGGTTGGTGGTGGTGCCTGAACTCTGGGCCTGGACACTGTCCCTGAACTCTTCAGCTCCAGGCTAGCACTTGAGCTGGAACTTGAGCCACAGTACTGTTTCCAGCTTTTTTCTGCTTATGTGGTGCTGAGGATTCCAACCCAGGGCCTCATCATGTATGCAAGGCAAGCACTCTACCAATGAGCCAACTTCGCAGCCCTCCGTTTTTTTTAATCTTGGAATTTTTCTACTTCCAGAGCTTGCTCCATTATCTCTTTGGTTCTGCCCATATGCTCCCACCTCTCCAATCTCAACCTTCAGGTGAAAAGGAATAAAGACCGAGCTGGGAAGGTGGCTCAGTGGTAGAGCGCTTGCCTTGTATGCCTGAGGCCCTGGGTTCGATTCCTCAGCACCACATAAGCAAAAAGAAAAAAGCCAAAAGTGGCGCTGTGGCTCAAGTGGAAGAGCGCTAGCCTTGAGCTGAAGAGTTGAGGGACAGCGCCCAGGCCCAGAGTTCAGGCCCCACGACAGGACCCAAAAAAAAAAAAAAAGGAATAAAGAAAATCCTGGGTTGGGGGGGGGGAGTTTACAAAGTAGGCCAAGGAGCAAGCCAGGTGCCAGTGGCTCAACACCTGTAATCCAAGCTACTAGCTACTCAGGAGGCTGAGATCTGAAGAGCACAGTTCGAAAGCCAACCTGGGCATGAGACTCTTACCTCCAATTAACTACCAGAAAACTGGAAGTGGCAGTGTGGCTGAAGAGGTAGAGCACTAACCTTGAGCTGGAGAGCTCAGGGATAGCGTCCAGGCCCAGAGTTCAAGCCCCACGGAAAAAAAAAAAAAAAAACTGGAAGTAAAGCTTTGGCTGAGAGTGTCAGAGAAGTAAATAAACCTCAACAAAAAGCAGTTTAGGGATAGTGCCCAGGCCCAGAGTTCAAGCCCCTGGAAAAAACAAACAGCCGGGCACTGGTTGCTCATGCCTATAATCCTAGCTACTCAGGAGGTGAGATCTGAGGATCACTGTTCAAAACCAGCCCAGGCTAGAAAATCCGTGGAACTGTTATCTCCAATAACCCATCAGAAAACTGGAAGTAGTGCTGTAGCTCAAGTGGTAGAGTGCTAGCCTTGACCTGAAGAGCTGAGGGACAGTGTTCAGGCCCAGAGTTCAAGCCCCATGACCAACCTAAAAAAAAAAAAAAAAGTTTGTCCATCTAAATCACACTGTCCAAACAGCTGGGGTCTTTTAATTAGATATAGAGATGATACTTCGTTTCTCCATTTTTCCAGTTGTCCAGTAAGAAAGAAGCGGCTGACTGAGGCGGACTTCTGTGCTGGTGGTAATGCATGGATTCAGAATGTGGAGTGTCATCCAGGAAACCTGTGCTCTAGTGGCCTTTCTGTGCCTGGTATGATAGATGTTGCTTGTGAAGAAATGGATCAGACTACTGGAGAACCTCAGTGTGAAGCTGCCCGAAGGAGGCTTCAGGAAATTGAGGACAGGTAAGTGGTGCACTGCTGCTGGCTAAACATTTGGTAGTATCTTGGTCCTCAGCCTCTCATAAAATCTAAGAGTATTCAAAGCACATACTCTACAGTGAGTTCTCCTAGAATTATTCTAACCTTTGTCATTTATGAATAAATATTGATATTTGCTTATAAGATACTTTCAGTCTTCTTCAAATATGACTCCATTGTTTAGTGTATGTTTAATCTTTTGTTTAGTGAAAAGTTGGACACCTTCTGTATATACCTTTTGTTCCTCTCATTTTTCTTCAAGGTACAGCCTTATTTAATCTTTAACTATAGCACTGTTGCTTTTATCTTTTTTCTTCTTTTTTTGTGGACAAGTCCTGAGGCTTTGAACTTAGGGCCTGGGCACTGTCCCTGAGATTCTTTTGCTCATGGCTAGCACTCTACCTCTTGAGCCACGGTGCCACTACTTCCGGCTTTTTTTGTGTGTTTGTGGTACTGAGGAATCAAACCCAGGGCTTCATGCATGCTAGGCAAGCATTCTACCACTAAGACACATTTCCAGCCTGTCCTTTTTTATTTTTTTAATTTTACCCAATTACTAGAAGAATATATAATAGCTTGATGAAATATTTTTCTTGTTTTTACCCTTTTCATTTACTTAGGATAATTGATGAAGATGAGGAAGTTGAAGCTGACAGAAATGTTAATCATCTCCCTAGCCTTGTCCTTTCTGATACCATGAAAACAGGTTTGAAGAGGGAATTTGATGAAGTTTTTACAAAGAAGATGATTGAGTCTATGTAAGTTTTGGTACCTGATTTCCATTTAATTATGATCTCGCACAGGTATTACCCATTATCTCTAAACAAAGCTCTTCATATTGTGTTATCCAAGCAAGTAAAAGGACAGTAGCTGCTATATTTAACCTAGTTTGGAGAAAGATTTCTTCCTGGCTCCTTTGGGGTGAACAGACTGCTGTGTAAGCATGAGTTTGAAGTATGCAGGAATGGCTGCCTTGACAACTTAAGGTACTAGTTTAGTGGTTGGGAAAGAATTAGCAAGAGCGAGCTTGTTCTCTTCATGGTTTTTCTGTTTCAGGTATCCAGAAAACATTGAGAAAAAGAAAATGGTATGGTAGCCACCAGAGTAGTTACACTAAAGCCACAAACCAAATCCCTTCAGGTCCCTTAGCAGAACTTTTTTACTAGTACAGGGTTTGAATCCAGGGCCTCCTACTCACACTCACAGCAAGCACTCTATTTGAGCTGCACCTCTAGCCTGGCTTATTGCTAGGTAATTGCAGTCTTTTCTGCCTGAGCTGCCTTCAGTGATCCTCAAGGGTTCAGCTCCTGAGTAACCAGGATTATAGGCATGAGTACCTATGCCCAGTTTAGTAGAGCTCTATGTGCATCTGATCATATAAAATAATATTTACAAAATGAACTCCAGGAAATGGAAGCAGGGCTTTTTTTTTCTTTGTTGCTAGTTTTGTTTTCTTTTAGTTTTGTTTACCTGTCTTTGGTAGGGTAAGGAGGAGCATAGAAATGGAGAGACAAGGGGCTGGGAAGGTGGCTCAGTGGTAGAGCGCTTGCCTTGCATGCCTGAGGCCCTGGGTTCGATTCCTCAGCACCACGTAAGCAAAAAAGAAAAAAGCCAGAAGTAGCCCTGTAGCTCAAATGGTAGAGTGCTAGCCTTCAGCTGAAGAGCTGAGGGACAGTGCTCAGGCCAAGAATTCAGGCCCCACGACCGAACCCAAAAATAAAAAATGTTGCTCAAGTGATAGAGTATGGGCCTAGCAAATGGAAGGCCCTGAGCTCAATTTCTACTACCCACTCCTCCTGCCTCTCCCCCCAAAAAAATGCAACAGCAAAGTGGCAGGCTGAAAAAAACAGCTTAGTCTCAAAGCCCAAATCCTGTCTGTTGTGTAGGAAAGTTACAAAGTACCATTTGAGGATTGCCTAGAAAAGACTTTTATCTTACAAATAAACTTGGTACTAATAAAACTTAGTATATAACTTGCTAAGATTCAGGTATTTTGGGACTGCCTTCAGGAGATGCCAGAAAGGTTCGAATATTACTGTCTTCAGACAAGTGGAAGTGATTTGTATTCAGAGGTTTAGCTACTTCAGCAGATTGCATTAGAGCCCTAGCTTGAGTTTATCATTAACAAGCCCTGAGAGTGGGTAAATAATTTTGTCAAATTCAGCAGGTCACATTGCCCTCAGCTTAAATCAGGAATGGCCACTCTAGGTAGTTTTCCAGAAGTTAGACTTTGAGAGTCTTCCTCCTTCTCCCCCCCTTTTTTTAACTTCCCTCTCTCGGACAGATTTCACCACCACAGGGGTTGGGAGAAAAAGATGACTGGCTGTGGCATAATTATGGCTTAACTCCAAAGTGTTATATTTAATAACTGTACTAAACAAAACCATCTGAGATACCTTCGTATGTTAGGTCATTGTTTCATTTTCACTCAAAATAATTCAGTATAGGGCAGTCCCCACAGGGTTAAGGGGATAGCTCAGTGGTGAACATATGCATGAGGCCCAACACCACAAAAACAAATCAACCTGTAGTCATGCATATCTGCTAATGAAAAATTATAAGATTAAATTAAACCAAGGGGTATCCTTTTTACATTTGAATGCTTACATTACCTGTGTGTGTCCGCCTGCTGTGCCCCCTGTGCGTCGCATGCCCCCCCCCCCCACTGCCACCCTCCAGCCCCCACCAGGCTTGGGGCTTGAACTCAGGGCCTGGATATGGTTCCGGAGTTTTGTTTTCTCAAGACTAGCACTCTACCACTGAAGCCACAGTTCCACTTCTGGCTTTTTGGTAGTTTATTGGAATTTCCTGTCCAGACTAGCTTTAAACTGTGATCCTCACATCTCAGCCTCCTGAGTAGCTAGGGTTACAGTTATGAGCCACCAGTGCCCTGCATATTTCACATCTAATCATAACAACATCAGTACAACTAGTTGGGAATATAGCTCAGAAGTAGATGACTTAGGGGCTGGGAAGTTGGTTCAGTGGTAGAGTGCTTGCTTCCCATGCATAAGGCCTTGGGTTTGATTCAGCACCACATAAGCAGAAAAAAGCCAGAAGTGGTGCTGTGGCTCAAGTTGTAGAACACTTGCCTTGAGCTGAAGAGCTGAGGGACAGCGCCCAGACCCAGAGTTCAGACCTCACGACCGGACACCCCCCCCAAAAAAAAAAAAGTAGATGACTTACATGTGTGAGGCTCTTAGTTAAATCCCAGTAAGGAAAAAAAAAGTTAATTTGCATGACCTTAATTTGAGTTGTTTTAAGTCACCTGTTTAGGGACTGTAACTTCATAACTAGAAGACATTAAGATTTTCAACATACAGCTTTTATTTTCTTGTCCTAACTTTTTGCTAAAAATGTATATTTTGTATCTTAGGAGCCGTCCTTCCATGGAGCTCGTGCTCTGGAAACCTCTTCCTGAACTCCTTTCTGATAAGCCAAAGCCATCATGTAATACTAAGAACTTCATGGGAGAAAGCCAAACTAAGCATGTAGCTTCTGCCACTGCCTTCCCACAGAGAACTGAACTGTTCTTGGAACCTTGGCAAACAAGGATGCCACTTTACAATAGTTTGGAAACCGCTGCTAGCACAGAAGAAGAGATGGAACTCTAGAAATCAGTTTCTTACACTAATTTGTGAAATGCTAGAAGGTTCCTAAGTTTAGTAGTGAGCCTATTTGCATATTATAGGGACTTGAAAGTTTTATAAAACGGGTGTAATATCTCCACCTGTGATTTAGGGTGGGATTCTCATTTTGGGTAGCCATTTTTTGAATTCAACTTTTGCCAAGGAATCTTGTCTCAAGAGAAAAGCAGTTTTCTAATGGGCATATTAAAGGAACATTACGTTATAGTCTCTTTAAAGGCAGATATAGAAGCTGTAAAAGTGACACCGTCTTCTGTCATATTGCCTAAGCCATTCATACACCTGAAGAGCACTCTTGAGTTGAAAAAGTAAGACTTTCCCAACTGCTACCACCCTGCTCTGATAGTTGACTCCTGGCAGGAGGGAATGAAGCAGTAACTTAAGCCTCTTGGTAATAAATTTTAACAAGGGCTATGAAGATGATCTGTTCAGCATAGCTGTATTGATTGAGTAGCTGAAAGCACATCAGTTCTGCTCTCAGCCTAGAAAATACAATGAAGCATTCTAAGAGGTTTGTCCTTCAAGGCCCTTTGCCCTGTACTACTGTTGTTTCTTTTTGTCTCTTTTGCATAATTGATACGTCTGATTGCCCAGTAATGTTTACAACTCAAGTAACTTTGATAGTTTAAAAGATTCTGAGGCAAGCCATCTGCAATTGCCCACAGAAGAAGCATTCTTTCATGAATCGTAAAGAAGCACTGTATCAGATAAAACCAACATTGGTAGCTTCTGTAGTTTAAAGGGAAAGGTGGTATTAGTATTAACAAGTTCAGTTTCTAAATGTTTTTCTTGAAAATGGAATGATTAACCAAGAGTATATAGGCAAGTGACATTAAGACTTAAGCTGAAATTGTCAATTTAAATTTATGTAGTAAGTCTATAAGTTAGTAGGGAATGGATTTCTGCCAGCAAGAAATCTTAACCTCCTTGAGTACCTAAACCAGGCTTCAGGTAATTCCTTTAGGAACTACCAGGATCACAGTCTTGAATTTCTCAGGAAGAACTCATTGGTATGATGGGGACAGTGCAAGGTAAAGAGACAAATCCGCATTGCTGTGGGACATTGACTAGAAGATAAAAAGTAAGTGTAATAGTGTGATACTGGTTCTTTATCACAGCAGGTAGCCCTCTAGTTCTAATTAGCTTTCTGGATTTTTTTTTTTCCTGCTTCATAGGAGGGGGAAAAAATGTTTTCTGCCAAGTAGAGGAGAATTTTTAGAAACCAGCTTCCTGGCAATTTTGAAACCCATGCTGAAATCCCTCCCCTTGTCACGGTAGTGGAGAAGTCACCAGTCTATTAGTTGGACTGTTTCTTCTCTTTGCCTGTTGTTCCTGCTCTGTTTCTGTCTGGATAGTCAGGAAAAGATTTAATGTTTAATATTTAAACAGAATATTTAATATCTACACAGTAAAATTCTTCACACTTAACAGTATTGAAACCAGTTGGAAACAAGCTAACAGTTTTTTAATCTCAGACCTAGAGATGAATGGAAACTGTATTCTGTAAAGATGTGCAAGTGTTTGATTCATGCAGTTTGAGGAACTCCTGCCCTGAGGTCATTATTTAATGGGACCAACATGTGACATTGATGATAGCCTTAAAGAAATCTCCATGCTGAGAAGTTGCAGTCCAATTCAAAACCTTGAAGGGACTGAGTTAGTCCCAGTGAGTGTTAGAGTGGGAGGGAAGACACAGCTTTCCACACACCGAAGCACGCCAATACTGTCTGCTGTAGCCATTGTTGGTTGGGCGTCTGGTCAAAGGTCTACATCATGAGAAGAAGAGCACTAAAAAGCTTTGATGGAATTGGTAAATACAGGAAGGAACTGAGATTCTGCAAATAAAAACTCAAGCAGAATTGGTTTCAGGTGACATCTGACATCATCCTGTCTGCAGGAAAGTGAATTTCTAGTGCTTTATCTTGCACATGTTCGTGGCACTTGGCTTCATCCTTGTGGTGCTTATTCATCTGAGCCATCTCCACAGTCCCGAAGCCACTGCATTCTGTTTTTGGGGTTTTTTTGGTAGCATAAGGCCTTTTGAGTTTGCCTTTGCCTTAAGGTTTCTCTGGGGAATTAACAGGTCTTTTCATTTTATATGGTTTTTGCAGCATGGATCAAACATTGGCTTAGTATGTTAATGTGTGAAGAGAAAACATTGCCTAAAGCAGGTGAGCTTTAATGAACAAATGTATATTTTCTGAGTTTTGAGTAGAGTGTGTGTGGTTTTCTTGTCTGTAATTAATATGAAGAAAGGGCAGTTCTCACAGATACTAATCAGCTAAAACAAAAAACCAACTGCTACTTATTCTTGAAAAGGTATAATTGTAAAAGATGAATAATTAGAAAGGGGCCTAAAACCATGGGAAGGATGCTTACCAGAAGGCTCGTAATTTTGTATCTGGAACTTGGTTAGCAAGAATGGTGCAGTGCCAGGAAAGTTGTGGAAGACACTGTTGATTTTACTTTAAAGTGAGAATCTGGTGTTTCTGTATTTTATCATTTTCAATTAAACTTGTGTTTTGAATTTTTTGAAGTATTTGTACTCCTGACTTCAGTAAATGAAGCATATAGTTCTTTCTTTCCTTTAAATTATAACTAAAGCAACATTCATATCAGTGAAGGACTTACTTAAATCTCTGAAAAGATGCTTGTATGGGGACTACAGGTAAGTTTCATAGCTGCAATTAGTTTTAAGTTTAGGAGCTACAGATGGGACTCTAACTCTGGTTTTCTGCATAAGGAGCAGGAAATATTTCTCCATTTTGCTCTACTTTAACTATGTCTTGCTAAAACTTAAAATGAAAAATAATTTGCCATTTTAAAGCCTATAGCATGCTTTTCATGGAGCAGTTCACTGCTATGGAATCAGCCTTCATAAATATTTAAATGTGGCCAGAGGCCCATGGCTCATTCCTGTAATCCTGGTTACTGAGGAGGCTGAGATCTTAGGAGCACAGTTCAAAGCCACCCCTGGCAGCAACGTGAGATTCTAATCTCCAATAAACCACTAGAAAACCGGAAGTGGTGCTGTGGCTCAAGCAGTAGAGTGCTCACCTTGAGCTGAAGAGTGCAGGGACAGCACCCAGGCCCAGAGTTCAAGCCCCACAACTGACAAAAAAAAAAAAAAATGTGGAGCTGGAAATGGCTTATAAAAGTTCATAGAAGGGGCTGGGAAGGTGGCTCAGTAGTAAAATGCTTGCCTTGCATGCATGAGGCCCTGGGTTTGATTCCTCAGCACCACATAAGCAGAAAAAGCCGGAAGTAGTGCTGTGGCTCAAGTGGTAGAGTGCTAGCCTGGAGCTGAAGAGCTGAGGGACAGCGCCCAGGCCCATGACCAAAAAAAGAAAAAGTTTATAGAGGGGTTGAAAAAAGGAATATGGCCAGGTTGCAGTGGCACACACCTGAAATCCAAGCTCTTCAGGAAGCTAAGATTTGAGGATCAAAGTTTGAAACTAGCGGGGCATCAATGGCTCATGCCTGTAATCCTAGCTACTCAAGAGCCAAGACTTGAGGATTGCAGCTCAAAGCCAGCCCATGCAGGAGAGTCAAGAGACTTCTCTCCAATGAACTACCAGAAAACTGGTGGTACTGTGGCTCAAAGTGGTAGAGCATTAGCCTTAAGCAAAAAAGCTTAGAAACAGTACCCAGGCCCTGAATTCAAACTGCACAAAAAAAAGTTTGAAGCTATCCTAGGTAGAAAGTCTGGAGAGTACATCTCAATTTTAACTAGCAAAAAGCCAGACTGCAGGCATTGCACAAGTAGTTAATTGCCAGCCTTGAGCAATAAAGCCAAACAAAAGGGTAAGGCTCAAAAAAAAAAAAAGTGCAAGGCTCAGCTGGGTGCTGGTGGCTCATGCCTGTAATCCTAGCTAGCTACTCAGGAGGCTGAAATCTGAGGATCGAGGTACAAAGCTAGTCCAGGCAGGAAAGTCCGTGAGACTCCTAACTCCAGTAAACCACTAGAAAACTAGAAGTGGGACTGTGGCTCAAGCAGTAGAGGGCTCACCTTGAGCTGAAGAGCACAGGGACAGCACTCAGGCCCAGGGTTCAAGCCCCATGACCGACCAAAAAATATATAAAAAGTACAAGACTGGGGTCAAGCCCCTTACTGGCACAAAAATAAATAAAAGTAAGGTGGGGAACAATTCCAGCTGCTGGGAGGTAGAGACAGAAAAATGAGCACAGGGCTGGGAAGGTGGCTTAGTGGTAGAGCGTTTGCCTTGCATGCATGAGGCCCTGAGTTCAATTCCTCAGCACCACATAAGCAAAAACAAAAAAGCCGGAAGTGGTGCTGTGGCTCAAGTGGTAGAGTGGTAGCCTTGAGCTGAAGAGCTGAGGGACAGCGCCCAGGCCCAGAGTTCAGGCCCACAACGGGACCAAAAAAAAAAGAAAAATGAGCACAGTCAATTAGAGATCCCGTGTCAGAAACAAAGTCCAAACAAAAGGGACATGGCTCAGAGTGCTTGTTTCTTGGGGGAGGGAGACGGTTGTTGCTCAATTCCCTGCATAAAAGGAGAGGGGAGCTGATGAGGTGGGAAATTACATGGTTATTTAGGAGCTAGACAGTCACTGGGTGGCAGTATTGCTTATATATCACCATCCTGTGATAAATGTGGATCCCGGAAATTGCAAGGTAGGTATTAGTCTTTAGGTTGCAGTTACAGAAAGCAAAGCATAGTGTTTGTGGATTTTTGTTAGTCATGGGGCTTGAACTCAGGGCCTTGGTGCTGTCCCCGAACTTTTTTTTTGTTCAAGGATAGTCCTCTTGCTTTGAGCAACAGTGCCAATTCTGGTTTTCTGGTGGTTAGTTGGAATTTCCTTGAGCCGAAGAGCTGAGGGACAGCGCCCAGGCCCAGTGTTTAAGCCCAAGGACTGACAAATAGTAAAATGTGGCTCAAAGTGTAATGATAAGGAAATACAGTTTTGTGTATATCAGTTTTAAATATTCTTGCTCTGTTCGTTTCCTAATTCCTCAGACTTTAAGCAGTAATTTTGAGACCAAGTAGAAGTGTTTAAAATGCAGTGTTTAAACTTGAGCTCCTGCAAATGATGTTGATTTTGGACATCTGTTAGGTAAGTCACACCTTCCTATCCCATTAGGAACTTTCGAAGTCAGAAGGCAAAGATGTATTTTTTTTTTTGTCAGTTGTGAAGCCTGAGTTCTGGGCCTACGCACTGTCCCTGAGCTCTTCATCTCAAGGCTAGCTCTTTACCACTTGAGCCACAGCGCCACTTCCAGCTTTTCCTGCTTATGTGGTGCTGAGGAATCAAACCCAGGGCCTCATGCATGCAAAGCAAACACTCTACCACTGAGCCACCTTCCCAGCCCCAAGATGTATTTTTTGTTGTTGGTTGTGGGGCTTGTACTCAGGGCCTGGGTGCTGTCCCTCAGCTCTTCTGTTCAAGGCTAGCACTCTACCACTTTGAGACACAGTTACACTTCCAGTTTTCTAGTAGTTAATTGGAGCTAAGAGTCTCAGGGACTCTCCTCCCTGGGCTGGACTTGAACCACAATTCTTAGATTTCAGCTTCCTCAGTAGCTAGGATGACAGGCTTGAGCCATCATCATCTGGCAAAGATGTAATTTTTTTTTTTTCTGGTCGGTTGTGGGGCTTGAACTCTGGGCTTGGGGGCTGTTCCTGTGCTCTTCAGTTCAAGGTAGAGCTCTACCACTTGAGCCACAGCACCACTTCCAGTTTTCTAGTGGTTTATTGGAGATAAGAGTCTCAGGGACTTTCCTACCTGGGCTGGCTTTGAACGGTGATCCTCAGATCTCAACCTCCTGAGTAGATAGGATTACAGGTGTGAGCCACCAGCCGGCACCCAGCTAAAGATGTAATTTTTAAGGAGCCAACATTCAGCTGATAATATAAAATGCTCCTGGAATGGGCAGATTGCCTTCTGTTTCAGTAACACAGCTCAAGAGGAAAGCCAGGGCAGAGGCATAATCTATGTTGTAAGGCCCAAGGGAGTGGTGAGTAGGCATCTTGTTATATCTTTAATCTCAACTCTGGATCAACTCTGGCATTAATAGACACCTTGCTTTGGTTTGTAGGAAGATCTTTATTTTTATGTTCATTTTTTTAGTTCTAGCCATTCTGTTGGGTGTTTGGATATGAAAACATCCTGGAATAGCAGGTGCTTTCTCAAGAATGAGCAGCATTTAGCATTTTCACCCATCTGTGCAGGAAATGAGAAACTTGATAATCTCTACAAGTTAAGTCCTGCCCTTGTTAGCACAGCTAACATAGCAGCACAGCTGCTGCTTTCATACAATATTGAATATATATGACTGGAGCCTCAACCTCCAGATGCTGATGCTGTTATGACGGAAGTAGAATTGCATCTGTAGCTACATCTGTATATAATCCCTAAGTAGAGCCTTGGTCCTTAAATTTTCACAAGATTGTGAAATTTTCAGGCAAGATTGTTTTCCATCACTGGCACAGTTGTAGGTAGTCCTTATGTTTACTACACCGAAGCTTAACCCTGAGCAAGCTTGCATTGCTGAGCATTGGGATTTAGCTCTGCTTCAGCCACCAGCTCTGACTTGCCTATAAGTGTGCATGTGGCCATACTTCCACTCACAGTAATCAGTGCGAAGAACACTTGTTTGAAGACTCACACTACTCCCAGGCTGTCTTAAAATTTGTCTTCCTAAGTCCTGGGATTACAGGCATGTAGCACCACCACCTGTTGAGAGATAGTCTTCCTTTTCTTTTTTTTGTAGGGTCTTCGTTTTGTCTAAGGCCAGCCTTAGAGCTTGATCCTTGTACCTATCCTCCAACATCGTTCAGACTATCGGTATACCCTATTTGTTGGTTAAAATGGTTCACATTGGCTTCAAATGGTGATCCTGGCCCTAAAATAGTTGGAATTACATTGTGAGCACCGTCTTAATAAACAGGGGATTAGTGTGTTTAACTGTTAAATGGGCATAGGATGACTCGTACCATTTCTAAATGTGGTAAGTTCTTGTTATATTTGTTTCAGAAAAATGTACCATGAAGAATGATGTTATTAAGTCTCTAATTTGGGAGTTATATCTCTTAGGAATTTTTGTGATTACTGTTTAGGAGATTGAATGTAGGTCTTCATGCCAGGACCATTGAGGTGTACCCCAATCCCAGATTCATTTCGTGGAAGAAGCTCTTACAAAATATACCTAAAACTAGCCAGGCACCGATGGCTCACGCCTGTAATCCTAGCTACTCAGGAGGCTGAGATCTGAGGATCGCGGTTCAAAGCCAGCCTAGGCAGGAAGCCAGTGAAACTCTCCAATAAACCAGCAGAAAACCAAAGTGGCGCTGTAGCTCAAGTGGTAGAGCACTAGCTTTGAGCTGAAGAGCTGAGGGACAGTGCTCAGGCCCAAAGTTCAAGCCCCACGACCAACAATAAAAATACACACACACACACACCCCACCCAGGCCCAGAGTTCAAGCCCCACGACCGACAACAAAAATACACACACACACACCCCACCCTATCCCCTCTTGTGGCTGAAGTAGATTCAGAGATGAGTTAACTTTTGGGTATTTAGATGGTGCCTGATGTATATGAAATGCTCCTAACCTCTCTCTATTTCTCGACCATTCCCTCAGTACAGATGAAGTGAGTGGTGACACACGGGCCCAGGGTTACCATGTTCCCTAGTGGCTGAGATGAAACCAGGAAGTTGGAATCTAGAAAATGCTCTTAAAGTCTAGGAAAATGGTGAGTCTTGATACATAATAGCAGTGCTCTTCCCTGTTTATAAAATGATACAGAACCTAAATGGGTGGATTCTAGCTCTGCCACTTTAGCTGAGACACTGGTCACTTAAGATGAAGCTATTTCAGTAGTGACTGCTTAAACTATAGATACAGCATTTACAGCAGCCAAGAATTGAAGCAGACAATAAAGACAGTTAAGGAGTCACTTCAGGTAGCACACCCACTTTAGTTGGATAAATTATACCACAGCTGATAGTGATATATCTAGAGCGAGAGAAAGACATGGATCCAGAAGAAGTCACAGAACAAGGATGATGCGTTGCACATTTTAATTGCACTGGTAGTTTAAATAAAGGGAGGAAGCACCTTCCAGACAGTTGTGCTAGCAGGAAAAGATTCTATGGCATTTACATAGTAAATTTCTGTAACTTTACAAAGATTCTTTTTTTCTGTGGGTCCTGGACCTTGAACTCAGAGCCTGAGTGCTGTCCCTGAGCTTTTCTGCCCAAGATTAGCACTCTACCACTTAAGCCACAATTCCACTTCTGGCTTTTTGCTGGTAAACTGGAGATAAGGAGTCTCACAGAGAGACTCTCCTGCTCAGGTTGACTTCAAACCATGATCCTCGCATCTTAGCCTCCTGAGTAACTAGAATTACAGGTGTAAGCTAGCAATGCCCACCTGAACAAAAGATTCTTAATCCAGGAGCCCCCTCAGTAGATGTTTCTCTCCTTGAAGAAACAAACTAAAGGATCTAAAAGAGGCAAGCCTAGGATGTCAAAAGGGAGAGAAATGATAATGGGTCTTTCATAAATTCCATTTCTACTTAAGACAACAGGTCAAAAGATGATGCTATACATATTGCAGGTGCACAATCACTTTTAAGACAGAAGGTAATCTCAAAGACTGTCATTCTAAATCATAGTATCTGAATAACCTGGACTGCTGGATGTGGACACAATACTAGGAGTCAAATACTTCATGAGTTCTCTAGGGCTGTATGCCCCCTACTTTGGCTTTTTGAATGAAGCATAGGCTTCTCTGCTGTCCTCCAGGCCATGTAATAGTCAAGGACAAAGACAACAGAACTAGATGTTCCTTATACACTAATGAGCTGGGGGAAGAGTTCATTGGCAAAACTGTCCTCCCAAGAATGGTTTGCACCAAGAGGAGAAGACATGTCACTGAAAGGGGAAGGGGACCCCTCATATCCACAGTCACTGTAAGCATCCAGCAGGGAGGAGGATGGCTTCAGGCAGTGGCCAGATGAAAGTAGATCTGAGATACCCAACTCTGGAATGAAGTCATCTTCTATAGGTTCTTCCTTCACGGAGACAATGAATTCAGGGTGATCTTTCTCTGAGGGGCTGAGAGGTGCTTCCTCAATTTTTACTACCACATTAGTTTGGTTCTCTGTCTCAGAGGGTATCTCTAGGACTAGAGGCTTGGTGTATACATGGTCAAAACGAATAAGTTCATTAATGGCTTCCAGCTTGGCTGATGACGTCCCCACTGACAGAGATAGGGAGGCTGGTAAGGAACTAGCTCCTTCTTGGCAGACCTCAGGGAGGTTCCCCAGACTAGTGTCTGGGGAAGGGCATTTGAAGAACATGACTGGGTCCAACTTGTCCAGGATTCCAAAAAGGATATCAGACTGCAAGAGGCAAAAACACCTGTTAGAATGCAAATGAGTCTACAGAAAACCCTCTTGGTGCTGGGTTCCATGATGCCAATCAGTTTATAGAAGACTGGCCTCGAGACCCACCAGACCCTCCATCACTTTCCTAAAGTACAAAAAACTAGGAATGTAGTTGATGTTCCACCCAAACTCCATAAAATCTAACTTCTCCTTCCCCATGTGTCTCATGAGGGATGTCAGATATTACAGATGGAATTAACCACTCATAACTCTTTACTGAGAGAATAATCTGTACCTCAGTATCTGAAGAGTCAACGCTGTCAGAATCCACAGGGAGATGTTCTGGGGTTGTGACAACTGGGCCTGCACCTGCTGCAGAGGTGCACGTAGTCTGAGTGCTGCGGACTCAGCAGACCCGGTCACTGGCCTCACTCCATTCCCCTGAAAGGAAAGACCGAGGCGAATGAGGAATTGGGAGTCCCCAAGAAAACATTTGCCAGGCAGACCAGATTTTCAACCCTCAAGAAGCTAAAAACTCAGCTGGACGTGTAGCACCTGTGATTGTTGCATTCAGTAGACTGAGGGAGGACCACCAGGATTATACTACACAGATTCTTGTATTTTAAAAAAAAAAATCTAACTTGTCTTCCCACTCAATAAATAAGAGTTTGGCTCCAGTGTTCTGCTTCTCCTTGATCCTTGCATGGTACAACTTGTTGGCTGTTGGCATTTGTCAGTACTTGGTCTGAGAGAGCCATGTAACTTTTTTATTAGTACTTACACTTGAAAATGAGTATTAAAGAATGCACCCAGGGCTGGGAAGTAGGCTCAGTGGTAGAATGCTTGCCTCGCATGCATGAGGCCCTGGGTTCAATTCCTCAGCACCAAGTAAGTAGAAAAAAGGCCAGAAGTGGTGCTGTGGCTCAAGTGGTAGAGTACTTGCCTTGAGAGAGTTGAGGGACAATGCCCACGCCCAGAGTTCAGTCCCCATGACTGACACACACACAAAGAACCCAGCCAGAAGGCTGCAATCTAAGGATTGTGGTTCAAAGCCAGCTCTACTAGAAAACCAGAAGTGGCACTGTGGTTCAAGTGGTAGAGCTCTCCTCTTGAGCTGAAGAGCTCTGGGACAGCACCCAGGCCCAGAGTTCACACCGCACAACCACCACCACCACCACCAACAGAAAAACCCTACCTGCATGGAAATGTTTCCAATAAAAGAAAATCGAATTTTTTTTTTTTGGGGGGGGTGGTCCAGTTGTAGGGCCCAGGTACTGTCCCTCAGCTCTTCAGCTCAAGGCTAGCACTCTACCACTTGAGCGACAGTGCCACTTCCAGCTTTTTTTTTTTTTCCTGCTTATGTGGTGCTAAGGAATCGAACCCAGGGCCTCATGCATGCAAGGCAAGCGCTCTAACACTAGGAGCTACCTTCCCAGCCTCTGGAATATTTTTGAGCAAAGATGCAGAATGAAGACACAATCTGTGTATTGTCCTGGGAACTAGTTCTTTTTTTTTGGTCCCATAATGGGGTCTGAACTCTGGGCCTGGGCGCTGTCCCTCAGCTCTTCAGCTCAAGGCTAGCACTCTACCACTTGAGCCACAGCACCACTTCCATCTTTTTTCTTTTTGCTTATGTGGTGCTGAAGAATCGAACCCAGGGCCTCATGCATGCAAGGCAAGCACTCTACCACTGAGCCACCTTCCCAGCCCCTGGGAACTAGTTCTCATATGACTCCAGATAAAGATCATTTACCTTGGCCTCTGTCTCCGTCTCCTCTTCAGCAACCAGCGCATCCATTCCCAAGCGCAGTCTTAACTCCTGGTTCTCAATAACAAGGCCATGAGTTTTCTCTCGTAAAAGTTGATTTTCTAGCAAAAGTTTTTGGTTCTGGAAGTAAATCCACAAGAAGCTATTAAAAGATCATTTATTTATTTATTTAGCTAGCCTTGGGACTTGAACTTTGGGCTTGATGAGCACCATCCTTGAGTTTTTTGTGTTCCATGCTAGAGCACTCTACCACTTAAGCCACAATGCTTCCTGCTTTTTCTGGTTAGTTGGAGATAGTCTCACTGACTTTTCTTCTCAGGCCGGCTTCAAACCATGATCCTAGCTCTCAGCCTCCTGAATAGCTAGGATTATAGGCTTGAGCCATCAGTGACTGACAAAACAGGTTTCTTTCAGTTAAGACTCTATACCTGGAAGCCTGGTACTGAGTCCGTGAAACTTTATCTCCAATAACCATCTGAAAAACTGAAGTGACACTGTGGCTCAAGTGGTAGAGTCAGCCTTGAGCAAAAGAGCTCAAGGACTGTTCGTCTGCCTCGAGTTCAAGCCCCATGGCTGACCTCCCTTCCCTACCCCCCACAAAAAAAAGACTACCTTGGAGAATTCTACACCAATTAGTTTCCCTCTGAAACACTTGGCTTATGCAATTGTTCATAATTGGTAGTAGCTAGACATGATTATGAAAATAAAACTAGGGCTGGGACATTGGCTCAGTGGTAGAGTGCTTGCTCATGTATGTGGCCCTGGTGGGTTCAATTCCTTAGCAGCACATAAGCAGAAAAAAGCCGGAAGTGGCGCTGTAGCTCAAATGGTAGAGCACTAGCCTTGAGCTGAAGAGCTCAGGGAGAGCGCCCAGGCCCAGAATTCAGGCCCCACAACTGACAAAAATAAATAAAATAAAGCTAAAGTGCCTCACATACAGACTTTGAATCTTTTTTACTTTCTGAAATTCAACAGGCTGTAAAAGGTGATCATAATCTAATGTGTCCATCTTAGTGTTCAGTGCTTCTTGATCAGAGTCACCCTTTCCATCATTCTTCCTCTTCCTGTCTGTTCCTTCCCTGACTTTCAACTTTAATGTTTAAAAAATAAGTAAACAAAAGCCAAGAGTGGTTGTGCATGCCTGTAACTCTAACACTCAGGAGGCTGAGGCAGGAGGATCTTGGGTTTTAACTGTATAGGAAAACCCTGTTTTAAAAAACTAAACTTAGCTGGGTGCCAGTGGCTCACACCTAGAATCATAGCTACTCAGGAGCCTGAGATCTGAGGATTGCTGTTTAAAGCCAGCCCAGCCAAGAAAGTCTGTGAGACTTTTATCTCCAATTAGCAACCAGAAAACTGGAAATGGCACTGTGGCTCACATGGTACAGTGCTTGCCTTGAGGGATAGCACTCAGACCCAGAATTCAAGCGACCTATTTTAAAAAAATAAATAAACTAAACCTGAGCTGGGCACTGGTGGATCATGCCTGTTATCCTACCTACTGAGCAGCCTGAGCACTGAGGATTGTGTTTTGGAGCCAGCCTAGGCTAAAAAAAAAAAAACTAAACCCAAGCCAGGTGCTGGTGGTTCATGCCTGTAATCCTAGCTACACAGGATGAGGTTAACAGTTCGAAGACAGTCTGAAGAGGAAAGTCCACAAGACTCTCATCTCCAGTTAAGCACACACACACACAAAAAAACAGAAGTGGGGCTATTGGTCAAATAGCAGAGCACACTAGCCATGAGCAAAGTAGCCTAGGGGTATTTCTCAGACCTTGAATTCAAACCCCTGGAATGACAAAATCCTAAACCCAATCAATCTTCACCTGTCAGGTAACAACAAAACAGTCCTGGTGGGCTAGGAATGTGGCTTAGTAGTAGTGTTTGCCTAGCATGAAGCCTTGGGTTTGATTGCTCAATACCACATAAACAGAAAAAGCCAGAAGTGGGGCTGTGGCTTAAGTGGTAGAGTGCTAGTCTTGAAGAAAAGAAGCTCAGGGGGGCTGGGAGGTTGGCTTAATGGTAGAGCGCTTGCCTTGCATGCATGAGGCCCTGGGTTTGATTCCTCAGCACCACATAAACAGAAAAAGCCAGAAGTGGCGCTGTGGCTCAAGAGGTAGTGCACTAGCCTTGAGTTGAAGAGCTGAGGGACAGCACCCAGGCCCAGAGTTCAGGCCCCACAACTGACAAAAAAAAAAAAAAAAGCTAAGCGACAGTGCCCAGGCCCTGAGTACAAGCCCCAGGACTGGCAAAAAAAAAAAAAAAGTAGTAATGGTGGATTATATGTTAAACATCTAGCTAATGATTTATACCTTAATACCAATACTAATCCAGGTACATTCAAGATGTATAGCTGGCAGCAATTTAAGATTAGATAACAGGTGAACCAAAGAAGGAAAAGGCATTAGTGAACTTTTGGCCAAAGCAGTAAGAATCTAAAGCTTAAAGAATGACTTCTTATCTGTCCTTGGTAATTTCTTCGCACTTGCTAGCAGAGAATCGTGGGCAGGTCCACCCAAGGCCAAGGTTCCATCGCTGCACAGACTGTGCTACCACTGCGCCTTCCCTGAGGCCAGTTCAGCCTCTAGTCACTCAGTGAACTGTATTCTGAAACACCTTGGGGTGGACAGGAACTCAGAGCAGCGCAGGGAGAGGGAGGACACGCAGGGATAAGAACGTGGCCGTCAGCTTTACTTACCTCCTCTTCCAAATCTACCACTTGCTGTTCCAGCTCGCTCATCCGGGCTTTCTTGCGATCTCGGGCAGTCTGTGCGGCGACTCTGTTTTTCAGTTTCCTGTGGAGAGAAGGAACAAGCCACGTAGACTCATCTCAAACTTTTCTTACATCTTCATTTGAAAACTTGGCCAGCTGGAGCCTTCCTTGGCGTTTCCAACGCCAAGGTAAAAATATCCCTCACTAAAACCAAACCACTACAGCCTCGGTCAGGCGGGGTCAGGCGGGGCTGCAGCGCGGCCAGCGCGGGCGCGTTGCATCAGAGGAATTCCCACCCCTCCTCCCCCGCCGCTTCCCGAAACCGGATCCGGAGGACCGCGGGTCAAGTCTGCAACCTGGCAGTGCCTTAAACACCCGGGCCCCGACAAATTCCAATCCAGAGAGGCCGGCTGGCCGGCCCGGAGTCACACAGGAAGGGGGCCTGAAACCCCCAGGGCCCTTCCCGCCCCCTCCCAGCTCTGATCCTGACTAATGGTGACAGCCAGCCCGCCTGCGCAGCCCGGGACGCGCCGGTCCGGCCTTCCCGCCCCGGTCCGGACCTCGACCGAGGCCCTCGCCCACCTCCTCAGCGCCTTCTCCTCCGGGCTCAGGTGCGTGAGGCGCTGCCGCTTGCGTGCTTGGGGCGGCCCCCCGCCCGCCGCCTCCGGGCTGGCCCCTCTCTCGCCCGGCACCATGAGCGGCAGCGTCTGGCCGGCCGGGGCTCCGGCGGCGGCGGCGGCGGCGGGGGGGGTGGCCAGAAGCAACACTTTAGAGACCCCAGCGGCCGAGCTCGGCGCGGCTGCCACCACGACCATGGCCACAGACTGTCCACGCCACACCGCCCCGCCGCCGCCGCCCAGCGGCCAGCCCCACCGCACCCAGCCTTTCTACGGTCGTGGCTGCACACGATTGGTCAGCGCCTCGTGACGCGACACTGATCTCGGTGCCCATTGGTCCCGAAGCCCAGCTGGGAAGGGGCGGGGTTATCCAGAGGAGGCGGGGCAGGATTGTCCAGCGTGGCGAGCGCCGGGAACTGGGCGTATTTTCTGCTGGGAAATGTTCGGTTCGCGGAGCAGCGAAAGCCTGGGGTGGTGCCCCGGGGTCGGGGCGGAAGGGAGCGAGAGGTCCCCTAGGGCCGGGGGGTCTTCAGTGGGCAGGTGCATCCCTCCCTGCCCCTGGCCCGGAATGCCAGACTTTAAACTGCAAACCGAGGGATTCCAGGCCGAGGAATTCCAGATTCTTGTCTGCGATCACTTTGTATTTCATGCGCCACTTCCGCCCCGAGGTCAGCCGAAAATCGAGACGGATGGCACATCCGGTTTTGCATGGGAGCGGGGTGGGAAGAAATTGTGCAAAGTGAGTCTTTAGGATGAGATCACGCATTTCAAAGTAAGGATAGCACCTGGCCCAGGGCTTAGCAGCCAGAATATCCTAAGGTACTGGGGATACCGTTTAGTTTTTAGTTTTAGTTTTTCGTAAACTTTCTACTAGGAGCCTACATTATTCTGATGATAATGATGGTTACTATTACTGGTTTTGTTTGCTGTAATATATTAAGGACAGAACCGAGAGTCCCCTGCGTGCTGGGTCAGCCATCTGCCACCGAGCCACTTCTCCATCGAGAAAACAAAATGTTACATTAAAAAAAAGAAGAAGAAAACAAAAACCCAAGCCTAGGCAAGCACTAGTGGCTCCTGCTTGTAAATCCTAGCTACTCTCAGGAGGCTGAAATCTGAGGATCCAAGTCCAAAGCCAGCCCCACCCCACCCCGGAAAAGTCCGGTTAACCACCAAAAAAGGGGGAGGTGGTACTGAGGCAAGCTCAGGGACAGGGACAGTGTCCAGGCCCTAAGTTTAAGTCCCAGAACCCTCGTAGGCATTGCCCTTTCCCGCCACCCTTCTCCCTTCCACCCCCCTCCTCCCCCTCCCTTTCACACCCCCCCCCCCCCCCACACACACACACACTCACCAACAGGCCCAGGGGCCTACCCTGAATCTCTGAACCTACAGCGAGGTCTGAGGCTTCAGTTAGGCGGTTGTGGTGCAAAGAGGGTCCGTTTGCTTGCGAAAGAGAGGTCCCCAGGCAGTAACAAGGAAGCATTTCATTTTCTTTCAGTTTTTATTATTTTTGTCTAGTACTGGAGATTGAACCCAGAGCCTCTCTCTATGAATTCACTACCCCTTGGACTGCAAAAATATTAACAGGAGAAACTTAAGCCAACTCCTCACATAGGCAGGAGACAAATTACAAAATTCCCCAAATTACAAAGTAAAACTTTCTTTGATAAGTAGTTGCTTCCTCCTCTATGCTCCTTGTTCCAGGTTCTAGAGATGTAATGATTAGTAGTAGAGTCAATAGGGACACTGATAGTAGTTTAACTCCCCCTCCCCCCCTCCGGGCCATTGAGCTTGAACTCTGGGCCTGGGCTCTGTTCCTCAGCTCTTCAGCTCAAGGCTAGCATTCTAGTGCTTAGAGCCACAGCACCACTTTCAGCTTTTTCTGTTTATGTGGGGCTGAGGAAGCAAACCCAGGGCCTCATGCATGCTAGGCAAGCGCTCCACCACTGAGCCACCTTCCCAGCTCCAAGTGGTTTTAACTTTTTATCTTTTTTTTTTCTTTCCTTTTTTTGTTTGGGCCCCACTGTTGAAAGTGGTAATTTGAGAATGGGGCCCAGCCAGACATGGTATCATACGTGTAGTGTCAGTTACTTGTTTTTGTTTTTGTTTTGTTTTTTCTTTTTGCCAATCCTGGGGCTTGAACTCAGGGCCTGAGCCCTGTCCTTGAGCTTATTTTTGCTCAAGGCTAGCATTCTACCACTTGAGCCACAGGGCTACTTCTGACTTTTTCTGTTTATGTGGTATGAAGGAATCAAACCTAGGGCTTCATTCATGCTAGACAAGCACTCTACCTCTAAGCCACATTCCCAACCCCTAGTCTCGATTACTTGAAGACTAGCAGGATTGCTTGAGTCAAACCAGCCTAGGGAACACAATATGACCCTGTCTCTTTTTTTTTTTTTTTTGAGTCCAGTCGTGGGGCCTGAACTCTGGGCCTGGGTACTGTCCCTCAGCTCTTCAGCTCAAGGTTAGCACTCTACCACTTGAGCCACAGCGCCACTTCAGGCTTTTTTCTTTTTTGCTTATGTGGTGCTGAGGAATCGAACCCAGGGCCTCTGGCATGCAAGGCAAGCGCTCTACCACTGAGCCACCTTCCCATCCCATGACCCTGTCTTAAGAGGAAGAGAAAGAAACAAGGAGAAGAGGGAAGAAAGAAGAGAGCTGGGCATCAACAACAACAAAAAGGTGAAAGAATAACAGAGAAGCAGGGCACTGGCGGCTCACGCCTGTATTCCTAGCTACTCAGGAGGCTGACATCTTACGATTACAGTTCAAAGCCAGCCCAGGCAGGAAAGTCTGTGAGACTCTTTATTTACAATAAACCACTAGAAAACTGGAAGTGGTACTGTGACTCAAGTGGTAGAACACTATCCTTGAGGTGCAATGCTGAGGGACAGTGTCCAGGCCCAGAGTTCAAGCCCCACGACCAACAACAACAACAAAAGAATGAAATCAATAAAATACTATTTCAGCCAGGCAGTGACTGTAATCCTAGCTACTCTGGAAGATCGGAGGAAGGAGGTTTGAAGCCAGCCAGTGCAGAAAAGTCCAAGAGATAAGCCAACAAGCTGCGGTGTGTGGCTCAAGTGATAGAGCACTAGCCTGAATGAGAAAGCCAAGTGGGAGTTTAAGGCTAGATTCAAGCCCCCAAATGCTCAGCTTCCAGATTCTCCTGAAGCCACAAGAACACAAGAATGCACTTCAGACCCACACAGGAGGGGAAGGTGTAGGCACAGAGGGCTCAATAGAGAATCCTCAATTGGGAGCCTGTGGGCTGGCTCTCTTTCTTTTCCTTCCTCCTTGCCTGGAAAACTGAGCTGTGTGCCAAATTGAGAAGATTCAGCAGCAATTTTGTAAATGAGGGGAGAAATTGCATAAGAACAGGATTCAGGGCTGGGAAGGTGACTCAGTGGTAGAGCGTTTGCCTTGCATGCATGAGGCCCTGGGCGAACCCAGCACCACATAAGCAAAAACAAAAAAGCCGGAAGTGGCGCTGTGGCTCAAGTGGTAGAGTGCTAGCCTTGAGCTGAAGAGCTGAGGGACAGCGCCCAGACCAGAGTTCAGGCCCCACGACCGGACCACACCCCCCCGCCAAAAAAAAAGAACAGGATTCAGAAATGCAGTGATTTAGTGTATTGGTGTGTGTGTGTGTGTGTGTGTGTGTGTGCATTGGTACTGGAGCTTGTGACTTGGCTTTTTTTTTTTTTTTTTCCTGTGCCTGTCCTGGTGCTTGAATTCAGGGCCTGGGCACTGTCCATGAGCCTCTTTGCTCAAGTCTAGAGCTCACAGCTCCACTTCCAACTTTTGGTCGTTCATTGGAATCTCCCAGTCTTTCCTGCCCAGGCTGGCTTCAAATCACAATCCTCAGATCTCAGCCTCCTGAGAAGCTAGCATCACAGGCCTGAGCTATTGGCCTTTTTTTTTTTTTTCCCAAGGTTTGTGTTTAATTGGGGAAAAGAGTCTCTCATGAACTTTTCTGCTCAGACTGGCTCCAAACCAGAATCTTCAAATCTCAGCCTCCTGAGTAGCTGGAATTACAAGTGTGAGCCACCAGTGCTTGGCTTCTGCTGTGTTCTTTTTTTTTTTTTTTGGGTCCAGTCGTGGGGCCTGAACTCTGGGCCTGGGCGCTGTCCTCAGCTCTTCAGCTCAAGGCTAGCGCTCCACCACTTGAGCCACAGCGCCACTTCCGGCTTTTTTCTTTTTTGCTTATGTGGTGCTGAGAGATCGAACCCAGGGCCTCAGGCATGCAAGGCAAGCGCTCTACCACTGAGCCACCTTCCCAGCCCTCACTATTATTTTTTTTTTAAACATAATTTAGCCACAGTCTGTGGCTGCCTCAATGTCCACTTGCAAGGCAGGACCTCTAATGAAGACACAGGGCTCCTATCCTGGGGAAGGGGATGCATTA